AGGTCCTCATTAAGGACATGTAGCCCTTATTCCTAACCCCGTGCCTTAGAGGAAAATTAAAGGATTTCTTGTTGTGGCTGTTTTGTTTTGGGAAAATGAAAATGTTTGGATGTGTGTCAGAACATTTAGGCAAAGCTTCACCATAATTTAAGGTTAGGATAATTCAGAGGGGAAAAAAAGTATCTCTTTTCTTCAATCTACATTATCGACGAGATACTGAGCAGTGACGTACCTTCGTTTTTGAAGCTGCGGATGATATTTGCCGTGGGCATGGCACTGTGGTCATTAGCAAAGCGGTTGTAGAGCTCCATCATGTACTCAGGTGGCTCCTGTCGTGTACTTCCAGGAGCTAAGGAAGGAGGACCCATGCCAGAGAGGTTGAAAGTACGCAGAAACTGTTCTTTTAGGCTCTCCAGCAGGTTTTGCACATCCTTGTTGCCGTCCTGCTCCAGCAACGATAAATCCACAACCCCTCCATGCCCGTCTCCGAGCCCTGGAGCGGGACGCTGTCTCTGACGGGCACTGGAGATGGGGCTAGTCTCTCCACAGAGAGGCCCCTGAAGAAGCAGGATGGAGTATGTCAAGAACAAGGTCTTGGAGGTGCAAATGGTTCCCAGTTGAGAGACCCAAGTGCTCGCCATGGGAGAAATAATCTGCAGCAATTTAATTTATGCCCTCTACGGTTGTCTTTGGATGAGTTCATGCAAAAAAAAGGGAAAAAAAAGATCTCTAATTCAGAGGTTAATTTAGGTAAAGATCAGTTTATCTGTAGGCTAAAAAGTTCTTTCAGCTGAAAAGTGTTGGTGGCCCTTGCACAGGCCAGTGTGTATTCCTGATGCTGTCTTCCAGACCTCACAGCATTTATTCTCACGCACACCTTTTGATGTCCTTTGCGACGCCGCTGTAGTTCCGGTGGCAGGGTGGCCGAGGCTCGTCTTTGTCCGTCCGACTCATCTCTGTTGTGTCCTCTGCTCTGTCAGTCTCCCTCTGTGCTCTGCTCTCTGTTGCCAGCTCTTTCTTTCTGTCCCTTATCTATGCTATGGTGGGCTCTGCATTGCTTCTGTGCGTATGGTCTCTTAGTTGGTGTGTGTGTGTGTGTATGTGTGTGTGCGTGCCTGCTTTCCCTTCAACTTTGTGAGATGCACATGACCGTGTTATCTCACAACTTCCTTAATGAGGATTTTGTAAACACTGTCCTGTAGCCTCTTCCTTGTGGAAGAGCTATTTTGTTTGGGTGGGTGCTCCAGAGTTGATATTCTGCACTTGTTTATTTGCTTTGTAAATGGTGGATTCTTGCGAGCTGCTGCCTAGGCTCCATTGACCATTTCGCTTTTTGTTTTGGACAAAATACACCACAGGTCTGTTGATATCGTTCAGTGCAACAGGATGCATCTATTAGGCAACGGTGGCACAAATGAAATTGAAATGCAATGAGGTGTGAGGCCTTAATGATAGAGCGTAAAAGATACTGAGTTCACTTTGGGTCTTGACAACATTTCAAGTAGCTCGTGAGAATGACAGAGCAGTACAAAATCATCATTCCCGTTCGTTCAGCCACTTCCACACTTGTGTAACGCTTGCTGAAAGTTACTTCCTCTGAGAAGAGCAGCAGTATGTCTGAAAAGGGGTTAACTGAAATCAAGAAGAGGTGAGGCACGCTCACGACATTTCATCTGGGGCACCAGCTTGCAAGGCATTCCTCTCAATTAGAATAACAGGAACAAGTCAAAGGTGATGGCAGTGGAAACTGGGTGACTAATGAAGCAGGCGTCCGAGGCCTCGTCCAGTGTATTGGCACGTGCTACACGCTACAGTACGTGTGAAGCAAACAAACAGCTAAGCCGTGAGAGACTCTGATGACACTAGTTAGCAACGTTTCACGCTGGCTTCCAATCAGATCCGAACAACTGCTCGGTTCGTCACCTGAACCCTTGTCTCACTACACAACTGTCCTTCATTCCTGAGCTTCTTTGTGTGACCCGCAGATACACTCCTGATTTTGGTGCGTCACACAGATGGGAAGGAATGAGCCTTTCCTGCCTCTGCCACTCATCTGCCAGGCTGATGGTTGACAGACGTTCTTGTTATCTGCCTCTTTGTTAAACTGCTGCTGCAACAGGCCGTCACATCTTCCTGGTGGACTTAAGAAAGCTTGATAGTAAAAAA